AGGCTTTTGAGTTTCCAAAACAAATTGCTCTCCTTGCATATAAAACAGTCCAATGATAGAGCTATGCTTAATTTCTAAGAGCCCCAACTATAACTAAATAAGTCTCATATGTATCTCTATTCAGAAAATTGAAATGGGTGTAACACAGTACTAATTTAATAACTTCTGTAGCACTCACCCATATCCCAAACTACAGAACCATCTCAATGATCTCAGATATGTTCCTCTTGAACTTTAAAGTCCCCTTTCTCCCCTCCTCATTCCCAGCTACTCCATCAGAAGGAACAGCTCCATGTATTCTGCTGTGGTTGTTGTTAGTTGCTACATGGTTGGCTCTGACTCATGGCAACCCCATATATAACAAAATGGAATGCTCCCCAGTTTTGTGCCATCTTCATGATCTCTGGAATGTTTTAGGCCATTGTTCAGTGCCTTTCAACTTAGGCAGTTCATTTCCCAGCAGTATATTGGCCAATATTCTGCTGTGGTTCGTAAGGTTTGCACTGACTGATTTTAAGAAGTAAATTTCCAGGCCTTTATTCCTAGTCTATCTTAGTCTGGATGCTCCTGTCTACCATAGATAACCCTGCTAGTATTTAAATATTTGTGGCAAAGCTTCCAGCATCATGGCAATGCACAAGCCACCACAGTACAACAAAATGACAGACAGGTGGTGGTCATGCATTCCAAACCTTTCTTTATCCCATGGGAAAAGCCTGTAGTAGAATGTGTTTAGTATAATGAAAGGCAGAATACAACCTTTAAGTGAGAGCATCACTGGTTGTCCAAGGCTCCAAGTTTCAAACATCTCCTTTATGAAGTAACTTGCCTAAGTAGTAGAGCTGGAATTCAAATCCAAGCAATGTGGCCCCAGAACCTACACTCTTAATCACTGTTATGCTAAAGTTGGATGTGGAGTAAAAAGCCAGAGAAACATTGACGCTATGGGAACACAAGGAAAAAAAAGAATATACTTTATGAGTGTGGTAGCGCCTAAGGCATTTGCTGCTAACCAGAAGGCTGGAGGTTCAAACCCACCAGCCACTCCTCGGAAGGAAGGTTAGGTAATCGACTTCCTAGTAATACCGCCTCAGAAACCCAAGGAGGGGTCACTATGAGTCAGATCCGATTCAATGGCAGTGAGTTTGGTCTTTTTTTCTTTTTTCTTTTTTAGTTAACTGATAGGGGTGGCCTAGATTGCTTTTCTTTTCTTTCTTTTTTTTTTTTTTTTTCCTACAGGAATTTCACTTACCTTTCTTTGGCTCAATCAAGAACAAATAACTCCACGAATAGTTCTCTGTACATGACACTTACTCCTCATTTATTATTATTTATCTTGTTATCTGGTATGTTTCATTTATGACAATAGTAAAATAACTACTATCTGATTATTTTGTGCATTAATGACATACAAACCCACTGCCATCAAGTTGATTCCAACTCATAGCAACCCCCATTGGGTTTCCAAGGCAGTTAATCTTTATGGAAGTAGATTGTCCCATTTTCCTTCCGTGGAGTGGCTAGTGGGTTTGAACTGCCAACCTTCTGGTTAGCAGGAAAATGCCTTAGACCTACTTAACTTCATGGTACCAGGGGCCAAATATAAAAACTCAGTGCCCATTGAGCATACAGATGCTTAAGAGATACTTCTCAGGAGAGACTTCAAAGGGCTTTACTTTCTGGGAAAGCAATCCATGAACAGAAAAGATACTTTGTTAATTTAAGGTGATCCTAAACCCATAACAGGGGTAACTAATAGTTCAGTGGTAGAATACTCACTTTCTATGTGGGAGACTGGGTTCAAATCCTGGTCAATGCACCTCACTGCACAGCTACCACCCCTTTGTCAGTGGAGGTTTGCATTTTCCTATAATGCTGAACATGTGTTCAGTGGCTCTTCCAGATGAATATAAGTAGGAAGAAAAGCCTGGAGATCTACTTCCAAAACTCAGCCAGTGAAAAATATATGGATCACAATGATCTGATGTGCTGACATTTCACTCTACTGTACACGGGGTCACTATGAATAGGTGGCTGACTCAATAGCAACTAACAACAAACCCATAGTACCCCCAGATGCCTCATAGAAACAGTGACAAATCCTGTCTGGAAGGTACCTTCATCCTAGACATTAAATTGCCCTAAGCCATCCAGTAGGGTTTTTCCATAGGTGGCACACCACTTTCACTCTCCTCATTGAAAAATTGCTGTAAACTTCAGGATTACTTAGAAGTTACCTGATGGATTTATTGCTGCATTCTAGCCACTCTGGCCTTCATTGTTACATTTATACACACAAAAGACCCACACAGAATTAACTATTTTGAGCTGTCTCTGTTGTATTTGGCACATTAATAAAATTAGTCAAGAACAGATCCCTTCTCTCATTCTCTGCCTTTTCACTGCACATGCCAGTGAGACCTTTTAGAGGTCACTGTTGGGGGAAATACCATGCATTCATTCAACTTAGAACCTGAGCATGATGTGGTAATTAGTAGATACAGAGGTAAGACCACAGTGGGATCTCTGACAGCTGTTATCGCAAACCTTATATTCTGATATAACTCTAACAAGGCAATTTACAATAGAAACACTACATTGAAAATGTGACTCTGGGCTTTTCTTGGGTCTTGACAAGGAAGAAGAGAAAGAGAGAAAATAATTCCTAATATTTATTACAACATATTACATTGACTTCATGTTAGAGATAGGAATGCAGGAAAAGTATAATCTTTGAAAAATGGCTCAACTTTAATAAAAAGAGGGGGATCCATTATGAGAAGCCTGAACGCAAGTCCAATCTGTTCAATCAATGAGCTGTGTGACCCGAAAAAAGTCTCAGTTTCCTCTTCTATAAAATGACAATGGAGGTCCAGATAAATTCTATGGTCACTTCTAGATCCAGAATCAATAATATTTATGCTTCTGCGAATAGCTTGCTAGAGGCATATCCTGGCAGAAGTTGAATTAGTATTACAGGTCACAGGTGATTCACTCACATAAAGTATGGTTCAAGAGAATACAGAAAAGCAGAAGACTTTACCCGTCGAAAGGCACAATAGCTGTTTTAAGCTTTTATAATGTCTGTTTTTTAAAGAGCCGTGTGTATAGTTTCAAAGAGATGCCAGTGATAACTTCAAATACTAATAGGATAAAATTTATGTATAATTCTGTAAGACCCCTTCAACTACTGATGTTCCTGCCATGTTATTGTTAGTGTTGCATGTTAAGCTAGCAAATTTTCAATGAACTCTTGCTGGCTTTACCACAGACACAGATGTTAGGCGGACTCCTTTGTTCATAAGGTTCTCATTATTAACTCAAACCAAGTTGAATATTTGACTGAAGGAAAGGACCATATCATTATTTTCAGATTTCATTCTATGACTTAACTGGACTACATCTTCCAGCTTTAGAAACAGCAAGTACTTCTTGGCGCCAGCCTTGGCGTCCTCTTCTATGACTACTACCCTAAATGTTTCAGCTTGAGGAAGTCTCTTCACCATCAAAACAATTTAATAAAAATTTAAATTGTGATTAACAGTTACTCATCAATAGACAGGGCATACCAAGTTTGTGCTATTTATGAATTATTTCACACAGTATTTTAAGACTAACAAATAGAATCCACATTCACAACAGGGTAAGCTAGAAAACCAGTTAAATGTTTTCATGATTTATAAAGTCTGTGTTATACTTGAAACCACATTTCTTTTAATAGGTAAACTGGCATTCCATTGGATAATTCAATCTGCCTTAAATCTATTCTAAAGCTCAGGGCAGCTTACAGGACATTCTGAATACAAATTTAATTCCTCTGTTTACCTTTAGGCTATATCTCATAGCATAAATGTCATAGGAGGATATGGTATAGGAATGCCTCCCAATTATAGGGTAAAATAGACTTAACACTAAAGTCATTTAAAAAACATTAAATATCACCCTAATTCCAAATGCAGAAAATATTTCATAAGCCTGGCTAAAGATATAAGTTAAAACAACAACATAAAAGAAATAACAAAAGGTCATAATATTACTGCTTCCATGTGTCTGGATCACCAGCAATAATATGAAGTGGGTAAGAATAATTTGAAATCATCTTTGATGGTTATTAGAAACAATAATCCCCCTATCTGTAGAAAAGCCAAAAGGATTATAGTATGATTGTCTCAAATAATTAGAAGAAGAGGGAACAGTTTTCCCTTCTAAAAATTTATATGCAATGAATTTGCTTAATGACTATTTTAGCACCTCACAGTATCTAGGAACAGAAGAACTTAAAGGGATGCCCTACTTCATGTTCAATGCAATAGTCCTTTAAGAACATTGATTCTTTGAGATAAGTAACATTCAGCCTCTTGAAAATTTTTAATTTCCCCAATTTACTTTTTGACATCTCTAACCTTTAAGAACATCCTTACACTAACAGTTGAAACCTATTTCCCTATAACTCCCCATGCCAGGTGAAGCTGATTCAATAGAAAATTTTAAGTTTACTTTCTCTTCATTATATTAGCTTATCAAATACTTGAGTGTACAGTCAAGTATCAACATATTTTTATCTCCTGTGAACTATGTACTCCAGGTATTTTCAATGAGTATGAAACATGGCTAGTAGAAAGATGTTATTCAGCTCTCACTAGTGTTTACCAGTCATTTTTTAAGTGTGGCATCCAGGAACAGTATTTTGTATGTGGTCTAAATAATTACAGAGCACAGTGAGATGAGTACTTCTTATGATGTAAAAATTAAATATTTGTTAAGGCTACAAATATATGTCCATTGATAAAAAGGCTTTTAACAAGATATAGAAATAAAAGAAATTTCAAAGTAATAGTAACTCTTCCAGCCATAGCCACAAGTGAAAGTTTAGAACTATTTATAGGAAATATACTGATATATACAGAAATTCTAAGTTTGAGAAAATTTTCCCATCAACCATCACATGCTTCAGCTCTAATTTAAGTATTCAAAAGCTGAATTTTTAACTTTGTACTTACCATGTTGTATGTCTTTCATATCTAAATGAAGACTAGACATTAATATTCCAACTGCTTGTGATCTTTTGTTGCTTAATAACTTGACAACCTGCTCATGAAAGAAAAAGAGGAAGATATTACTTTGAATTCCAATGGTATGTTTAATAACATGTTTTTTTTTAAAGATCTTAAGTGAAGAACAAATAAATAGAAAACACTTTGTTTCATTATTAAGCTATTAAAAACAGATTTTTTTTAATGAAGTAAAGCTTTTAGACTTTATATTACAAATCTTCAAAATCTACCACTTGTCTCCCTGTCTATAAAGAGCTTCAAGGTCATGCTCTTGATTTCTTTTAATAACCTGATTGTCAGAAAGCAAAATTTCTAATGGTTTAGAAAATTAATTTGATATCTAAAATAAGTAATTACACGTTGATAATTGGGAACACCACCATTTGTCTGCCAGTCTGCTGTACTGTGGTAGCTTGCATGTTACCATGATGCTGGAAGCTATGTCACCAGTATTAAAAATACCAGCAGGGTTACCATTGGTGGACAGGTTTCAGCAGAATTTCCCGACTAAGACAGACTAGGAAGATGGGATCGGCAACCTACTTCTAAAGAAACTGGCCAGTCAGAACAAGCTAGGGGCCAACTGTGAAAAGGCCACTAATCAGTTACATGTGAGTTCAAGCTGAAGCTGAAAAAATTCAAAACAAGTCCATGAGAGCCAAAGTTTAATCTTAAATATGTCCCATGTGAATTTACAGACCATCTCAAAAATAGATTTGACACCTGGAACACTAATGACCAAAGATGAGACCAAATGTGCAATGACATCAAAAGGTCATTTAAACATAGGGGAAAAAAATCTCAATGGATGTCAGAAGAGACTGCAAAACTTGCTCTTGAACATAAAGTAACTAAAGTAACTGGAAGAAATGATAAGTAAAAGATCTGAACAGATTTCAAAGGGAAGCTTGAAAAGACAAAATTATAATGAAATATGCAAAAATCTCGAAATTAGAAAACCAGAAAGGAGTAATGCACCTGGCATTTCTCATGCTAAAAGAACTACAGGTAAAATTTAAGTCTCGAGTTGTAAAACTGAAGGATTCTATGGGAAAAATATTGAATGACTCAGGAAGTCTTACAAGAAGATGGAATGAATACACACAATCACTGCATCAAAAAGAATTCGTCATAGTTCAACCAATTCAGAACGTAGTATATGACTAAGAACCAATGGTGTTGAAGGAAGAAATCCAAATTGTACTAAAGGCATTGGCAAAAACAAGGCTCCACTAATTGATGGAATACCAACTAGGATGTTTCAACAATCAAATGCAAAGCTGGAAGGATTCACTGACCTATGGCAATAAATTTGGAAGAGAGTTACTTGGCCAAATGGCAGGAAGAGATTCATATTTGTGCCCATTCCAAAGAAAGGTGATTCAACAGAATGCAGAAATTATGCAACAGTATCATTAATATCACATGCAAGTAAAGTTTCGCTAAAGATAATTAAAAAATGGTTGCAGTAGTACATTGGCAGGAAACGGACAGAAATTCAAGCCACAGAAGGGGATGTGGAAGGAGGGTTATAATTGCTGATATCAGATAGATCTTGCCCAAAAGCAGAGAATACAAGAAAGATTTATCAAATATCAAAGGCATTTGACTGTAGGGATCATAACAAATTAGGAGTAATGCTTAGAAGAACACTAATTCCAGAATACTTAATTGTGCTCAAGTAGAACCTGTACATAGACTAACAAGCAGGTGCTCAAATAAACAAGGAGACACTGCATGGTTTAAAATTAGGAAAGGTGTATGTCAAGGTTGTATTTTTTTACCATACTTACTCACTGATAACCTGAGATATGCAGATGACACAAAGTTGCTTACTGAAAGCAAAAAAGACCTGAAACACTGAGGAAGATCGAAGAATATACCTTTCAGTATGGATTACACTTTAACATAAAGAAAACAAAAGATTCTCACAACTGGACCAAAAAGCAACATCATGTTAATGGAGAAAAGACTGAAGTAGTCAAGGATTTCATTTTACTTGAATCCACAATGCTCATGGAAGGAGGAGTCAATAAATCAAATGACATACTGCATTGCTGAACTCTAATACAAAAGATCTCTTTAAAGTGTTAAAAAAAAGAAAGCTGTCATTTTGATGACTAAAGTGTGCACGATCCAAGCCACGGTATTTTCAATCACCTCATATGCATGCAATAGCTAGATACTGAATAAGAAAGATCCAGGAAGAATTGATGTCTTCGAATCATGGTGTTGGTGAAAAATATTAAGTATATCATATATTGCCAGAAGAATAAATAAACCTATCTTGGAAAAAGTACAGTCAGAATGCTCCTTAGAAGGGAGGATGGTGAGATGTAATCTTATGAATTTGGTCATGTTTTTGGGATAGAGCAATCCTTGCAAAAGGGCATTATGCTTGATAAAGTAGAGGGTCAGCAAAAAAGCAGAAGACCCTCAATGAAATGGATTATACAGTGGCTGCATCAATGGGTGGAAATACAGCAACAAGTTTGAGGATGGAACAGGAGCAGGCAGTGTTTCATTCTGTTGAACACAGGATTGCTAAGAGTTGTAACTGAAACACTGGCCAACCAGTGAAGGGTAAAATACAAATAATGTACACAAAAATTCCATTAGATAAGTTTTACAACAAAATAGAAAACATGCTTTTACTTGGGTCTTTAAGAAAGCTCAATGTTTTACTGGCAGTTCCTTTCATTTTGCACTTGATCCACATTCTGTGGAGAACTTTCCAAGTAATTAGTAGAAGGCCACAAGCATAAAACCCAGAAAAGGCTACATCAGCTCTCAAATCTGCTCTCCAGAGAGTCCTGAAGTATCAGTCTAGACAACCCCATTAGAAGGGTTCCCAACACAATAATAGGCACACTGTTATAAAACAGATATGTTCTCCAGACTGTAACAGACCACTCATAGATCCTGCTAATGAAACCATCATCCAGTTCCTGATTATGTGAAGAACAGCAAATTCTACTTACTCTCAGTGTTGTGTTTTAAAACTACTTAGACAATACTGGAGAAAAAGGAAAGAAAAACAGTTACGGTCAAATTGCCAAAGTGAAGCTGTCTTAACAGCTATCACATCTGTTGACCACTGTCTTTTTTTTTTTGGTTTAAATTGGGTCAATCTGGAAACTAATCAAATAATTTCAACCGACTGTCACAAAGAGGAAAACAATATTCTTAATAGCAATAACAGCATTCCTCATTCCCCAGAAAGAATGGAGGTGGGAAACAAAACACTTTCAGAAAAACCACCCACAAAATTCTCCATAGCCATTGGTAAAAGCTCCCATGGTGAAGCAACAATATCCCACAAGAAGGTGAGCTTTCTCAAAGATTTCTGCTTCTATTAGAAAAACCTACATATAAATTTTCATTCTAAACTGGCTTTCCTACCAGAAGTCTGGTAGTTCAGACCCACCAGCCACTCCTCAGAAGGAAGATTGGGCAATCTACTTCTGTAGTGACACCTCCTGGGAAGCCCAAGGAGGGGTTGCTATGAGTCAGATCTGACTCAACAGCAGTGTGATTTTTTTTTTGTTGTTTTTCATGACCTGCAGGACATATAGCACCCACCCATATTTTTTTCCTCTTGGGTTTATTGGCCAGATGCTTCCCTATGGACAGTGCATGGAGCTGTTGGGAGGGGACTTGCTCAACTGTTTGAAACTGAAGAAAATAGAGTGTACTGCAAATTACTGTTTTTAGGGAAAAACACGCATATGGGTGATATATGCTGCAGGTATGATTTTGCAAAACTTTTATCCCATTTGGCTCTTCTACTGGGAGATAAGCCTTATAAGTATATTTCTAGATTCCTGTATATTTTTTGAGGAGCACAGGTGACACAGTGGTTAAGCACTCAGCTAACCAAATGGTCAGCTGTCTGAACCCAACAGCCACTCTGTGGGAGAAGGATGTGGTAGTCTGCTTTTGTAAAGATTACTGCCTTGGAAACCTGGATAGTGTGAATCTGTCATTTAGGGCCAGTATGAGATGGAATTGACTTATTGGCAGGGGGTGGCTGTGGACAGTATGTTATTTGGAAGCTTCCCATCCTGAGATGATTCCAAGTTCATGCAAATGCCACATTTTAAGGAGATTTAAATTGTACACACCTGCCAAGGGATCTAGAAGGCGGTGTAGAGCCCAGAGAGACAAATGTGTTCCATATAATCATAACTCAGATTGTATATGCTCCACATGATATGTATCAAAATACACATTTCATTAAGAAAAATTCAGAAATACTCTTTGATTCAGCATTTCAATTAATGAAGGCACATGGTATCGACAAAAAAATTCAAAGGGGAAAATAATTGGATCATAGCCCAAACCAAAACCATGACTGTAGAGTCAATTGCAACTTGTAGTGATCCTATAGGACAGAGTACAACTGCCCCATATAGTATCCAAGTCTGTAATCTTTACAGAAGAAGACTTCCACTTATTTCTCCCATAGAGTAGCTGATGGGTTGGAACTGCTGAACGTTGTGCTGCTAATTATATCTTGAATACTAGCACACCAATGCATTTCTATTACTAGCAGTATTGCAATTAGCAGGATTATTCCCCAAGAAATGGGGGGTGGCTGGGGGAAGAAGAAATATAATATCACAAAATTATAAGCCAGGTATTGTTTCCTTAAAAAAAAAAAAAAAAAGTTACTAAGCTCAGATAAATGCAATCAGGATCCCATCCATGCTACTCTGTTGAAAATGGTTTTACTAAAATTTCCTATGATCTATTCCTAAGTCTAATGGACATACGTAGAGACAAAAAGTCATCCTGTTGACATACTTAACTTAATCCCTCTACAACAGGGACCCAGGAAAACTAAGTGAAATGGACAGAGACAATAATCCTGCAACCCTGAGCATCAAATGAGAGAATAAAAAATTAGATTGAGTTCTGATTGGAGAGGGAGATGGAGTGAAGGCAGTGACTGAGGAGAGAGAAGAAGCTGGAGCCCAAAACAGTGTGGCTATATTGAGACACAGAGCACATGATATACAGGCAAGAAGAAAC